AGTGAGACTCTGTCTCAAATAAATAATAATAATAATAATGATTAGTTACAGAAGCCCAGGAAACTTACTTTGGCTTCTAAATAACAGAAAAATCACAGGTGAGATTCTTACCAATCTTTTTTGTTGACAAAATAGAGTCGAAGAACTGGATAGCTGCTGTCTGGCTGGTGCCGTTGAGCAGGAAATAGTTGTAGAAACTAAGACCCGAGAGGTTTTTCAGGTGACACCCGATGTGTGTTCCCGAGTCTTGTATGTACCCCGGACACTCTTTTTCCCTTTCTCTCCTGGAAGATTCCAAAGCATTCAGGAAAAAGAAAAATAAATCAGCCTTTTCCTTTTTTGGTCCTATTCACTCCCTTCTCCTCTCAGTCACCGGGATAAAAAGCCAACACTTACTTTGAGTCTCGTATATACAGAAAATACTGGACGTCCCGTGGGGCCGCAGGCCCCTTGGCCCAAGTGCAGTTCATGAAATCTACATCGTAGATGACGCAGGAGAAGTTCTGGGCGGCTGTGCCCTTCGCACCTGGGAAGAGGTAGAAGCTGGATAACTTTCCTGCCGAGGTTTAAAGGGATGACTTTGCTGCTTGGAGGCGGGCGGGGTGGTCTGCAGGGGTCCCCTACCTGGGTTAGTGTAAAGCAGTTTTTCTTGCATTGATCTTTCGCTAGTGACGACTTGAACTTCAAGAAGGGCACCTTGGTGCAGGGAGAGGTCCGCAAACCTACACCAGCATTCCTCTTTCCTGGGCTAGAAAAGTTGCAACCAGCCAGCGGATTAGGACACGGATTTCTCTCTCGCCCGATTTTCATCGTGTGGGTTTTAACCTGGGCCCCATGCCACGCACACCTGCCTTCCTTGGGGAAACTTCCTGGCCTCTGTCTGATGCCCCGAATTCCACCCACAGGTGGAAACCCCATTTTATAATCCCCCTCCGCCCCCAGCAAGACTCAGACCACCAGACAATAGCTCCTGAGCCCCAGAAGGAAAGTTCTACAACCTGCAGCTATAGCATGAGCAAGTCACGGGGTGGGGCCTGAGCTCAGGCAGACCTAACTTTGTATGGAGGACGTTTGTCACTTTACACTGGGGGAAGCTGAAGGTACCCACTCTTCCCAGGTTTCCTGTCTCTAGGACCCACCATCCCCCCCCCACATATGTCATAGTTACACTGTATCCACATCAATCATCTGCTTGTTTCCATAGAAACATATGTCATAGTTACATTGTATCCACATCAATCATTTGCTTGTTTCCATAGCCACATATGTGATAGTTACATTGTATCCACGTCAATCATTTGCTTGTTTCCATAGCCACATATGTGA